CGATCTTAGCATCCTCGCCTCGAACAAAGAGAAGCCTTTCTCACCAACACATCGCTCAGCAGAGATCAACGTGTGAATCGCTTGCTGTGTTCAAGAACAGGTTTAAAAATCAAGAAAAAAACTAAATGACAAAAATCAGATTTAAATTGGTAAATTTATTAAATGCTCTGATGCAGGGGTGTCAAACTCATTTTTGTCGCGGGCCACATTGTAGTTACGGTTTCCCTTTGAGGGCCGTTATGAATTTTGGGAAACCATACAAATGTTTAATTCCCTCCACATATTCCATACACAGCGCACAACAAATTGATGAATAACTAATTTTAAAATTACAAGTCAAGAATCATGACTGTTGTTGTGGATTATATTTGACAATTTGAAATTTTGGTTCAGACTTTTGCAAACATCATTGAATTTGACATGCTTGATTTGCTTTCGCGGGCCACATAAAATAATTTGGCGGGCCAGATCTGGCCCCTGGGCCTTGTCGTTGACATCTGTGCTCTGATGTAAGAGAATATTGATTTTGAGTATGAGAGTAGATTGACTTTTTCTTTTCAGATCACGAAATGCTAAATGAACAATCGATGACAATTTTAATAAAAATCAAGTTAAAACTCACAAAAAACAAGGGGTGGGACTTGCTTTTTTTTTAAATTCTTACTTCCTTTGAACATGGAAATTGTGTTGAATGATCACGACCGGTGTTTGCAATTTTTTTCTTCCCTTGACTTGCTGCCAAATTTCTGTGATCTGTTTCTATGTTCAACAAACAAACAACCCAAAGAAGACCCTTGTGAGGATAAGCGGATCAGAAAATGGATGAAAGAATGTCCCATGCCTTAATAACAATGTTTCTAATGCATGCTTGTCTAATTTTTCTTCTTCGTGTAAAGGACAATTCCAACCTAAAATTACATCACTCACTGTACAGGGTGGCCTCAATTTCGGACAGTTTCCTTCCAATGTCGGCAATATAACCTGAAATTTTGAATCGAAATGCACTTGTCACTTCACCACATGTCATGATTTCAGTATACAGTAATCCCTCGTTTATCGCGGGTGTTACGTAAGGACAAGTGAGAAGTGAAATCCGTGAAGTAGGATTTTAAAAAAAAAAAAAGCAAAAAAATGTGAGAGGGACGAAATTTCAAATGTGCTGTATGTAAAACATACA